CGGCATTGTCTGCTAACATTATTATGAATTGGTGATGACAACCTGGTTTGTATGTTAGCTCAGTTAGTTATTTGCTACATCATATCTATGGGGTTAAATTTCATGCACGCATAAATTATTTCACTATAAATTTATTGTACATGTCACCACTCTTACCACCTCGACTAATAATGCTGTGGTAACTAACACCTTCAAGATAATTCAATTTATAGGCGTGCGGGTCGTCATGGGTCACTGGTATGTGAGCAAGGAGGATGTTGAGACGTATGCGAGCAAGTGACTGATATGCGAGCAAAGAGGATGTTGAGAGTGCCTTGCGAGTAAGGGGGTGTTGAAACGTATACCAAGCAAGTGACTGGCGTGCCAGTAGAAAGGATGTCGAGACGTGTCGAGTAAGGATGATGTTGTCATGTTAAGACGTTAGACGTATCTCGAGCAAGAGACCCGACATGTGGGTAAGTACACAGAGAATATACATATACAGAACACCGCGGAAAAACGTCTGCGCATGCGTCAACCTTACCTGTAATAGTATTGCGAACTTGATGAGAAGCTGTTCCGAACGTTTCCGAAGGCTCAAAATGGCGGTAAAAAAGAGTGACTTCATTGTGCGTCTTTACAGCCAGATTTCGAGCGCAAAAATAAACATGTCATTCTAAAAACTAGGAATAAATACAGCCAGAAGGTTCAAGAAATTGTATTGTACAAGAACATGAACCAAAGGTGATTGTTGACAAATTTATCGTCTGAAACATTTTGTTTATCAACTAAGCAACGACAATTTCCGAATTTTCGTTTGAGATACATTTCTTTAAAAAAAACTGTGTCGCCAAATATAAAAAATTTTCGTGTTCACAATAATTAAACTTTAGGATTTATTCTACAATTTAAGTGGGTTAAGAAGCCTAACTTTTCGAGAATTTTCTTAACTTTTGAGTTTGAATTTTTGTTTTGAATAATTTTTGCCAAAATTTTCGAATGTCGTGTCCGTTAAAATCAACAATTTTTTACATGAATTATATTTCATTCCATACTTTAAATGGCAGGACGCTTTCAATTAATGTCTAGTCTAGTCTACCCATTTGCTATATTTTTTCGTTTGTTTTACTAATTTTTGACCAATTAATAAGCATGTTTTTGTTTTAGAAATTGATATTCAAATTTCCCGCCATATTTTCATAATTTGGTGCATGCGCAGACGTTTTTCCGCGGTGTTCGTAGCCACCAATATTTCTAGCGGGTCTTCAAAAGTGGACATATTTTGCATCAAGTGATGTTTCATGTATACGTAGTTTATCTTGTTTTGAAAGAGTTTTATAGTACGGCTTGCAGTAATCGTAATTTGACAATTTGTGTCTGTTCATATATTATTACTAGGATACGTGCAAGGTAGGGATTTCTGCGGCATTAAAAGCAAATAGAACTACAGTAATTACCACAACGGTAACTCCAAAACTAAACATTTTAAAGATAGAGCAAATCTAGAATTTCGCTTACCTCAAAATTCCGCAACAGTCTGTTTCATCAGTAAAGATACCGCCTGATTGATTCTTTACTGATGAAACAGACTGTTGCGGAATTTTGAGGTAAGCGAATATATATATATATATATATATATATATATATATATATATATATATATATATATATATATATATATATATATATATATATATATATATATATAGTTTTTCGTTTTACCTCAAAAAACCACAACAGTCTGTTTCATCCGTATAGGAATTCCTTCCTATACGGATGAAACAGACTGTTGTGGTTTTTTGAGGTAAAACGAAAAACTATATTACGCTCTATCTATATGGTATTGAGCACTGTTTGTGTTTCGTAAACCAAAATCTTAAGCTATATATATATATATATATATAGTTTTTCGTTTTACCTCAAATATATATATTTTATTTATTAACTTTACAATCATGCAAAAATTATAAAAATGATTGAAGGTATGGTCAACAGGACACGAGTCCCATGTGAAGACCAACCTGATACAATACAATACAATAAGTAGACATACATTAAAGACAAGGACTAGAACACTATTTACATAGCTATATAAAAATTAATAGTTTAGATTATGAGCAACAGCTTAAGTTGAAAGAACGGCATTTAGAGCAGAAGGTTTTCCAAGTGCGCATTCTGTTAATATCGAAAGAAGAGTCTAATTGAGAAGAGTAGTGAGAATGGAGCTGGAGCTTAAAGGATGA